GGGATAAAAACCCAATCCGGATGGCAAAACCCGGGGGGGGGGCGGTTTGTTTTACAACGTCGTTGCTAAGCGACGAAAACCCAACCCCGATGGAAAACACCGGGGGGGGCGGCGTGTTTTACAAGGTGGTTGCCAAACGACGAAAACCCAACCCCGATGGCAGAACACCGGGGGGCATGGACTGGGGGGGGGGGGGCGTAAGCTGGTCGTGTGCTTTCGCGTAGCCTCTCTGCGAAGCTTTGCTAGGGTAGCCTCCACATCTGAGTGCCGCTTCAAAGAAAGGACAAGGCTACTTCCTGTCGCCGCCCATCGACGCGCTGCATCAGGTGGTAGAAGAGCAGATTCACGCGACGCTCTCATCGAATCCATGCAAGTGAGCGTGCCTCGCTCCCTGTCTCCCCCTCCAACGAATGTATTCCTGGACAACAGGAAGCAGAGGTGCTAGACTGCTTGAAGACAGCGCTGCACAAGCAGTGGGAGTCTTCGAGGTACACCATTCCCGTCAACCAAGGGCAACTCGTCCAGGCGCGGCTGACGGACGGGGCGGCGTTCACGCTGCGGGACACGGCGGCGGCAACGTCTCCGCCGCCCCCGGAAGCTCGCGGCGGCGCCTCCAGCGTCGGCGTAGTGTCGCCGGGGCCCCTCGAGGATCACGTTGCCGCAGAAGAAGCCTCCGGTGGCAAGGACGAGATGGAGCTCGTTTCCGGGGAATGTTCCAAGAATCAGGGGACCAAGGACCGTGTAGAAGTGGTGGAAACACGTCGCGAAAGCGGCGGCGGTGCCACCGACTGGCGAGAATCCGAGGGGATGAAGAGAGAAAGAAGGACAAAGAGCGCGGAGGACAGAAAGCGCAGGACTCGCGACTTTGATGCGCCGGCGGGGGCGATGCGATCACTCGACCCCGTGAGAAGCGAAGGCGGAGACCGGCAGCGGTCGACAAGCCCTTCCAACCCGAAACGCCACCGCGGGGTTGTTGCGGAGAGCGACGACGGGGTCGGCGAGGGCCGCGCTAGCGGCAAAGCAGCCGCGAGCGTCGACGGGGACAAAGCTGGCAGCAGCGTACAAGACACGCAAGGCGGCAATGCGACACCTGCCAAGGACCACGGTGATGTGGACGGGGGATCGAGACAGCGGAGTCCCGAAGGCACGCTGGGCCCGAAAGAGGCCCCCCCCGAGAGGGACAGCTCAGTTCGTGTCGGCCACCCCCCAGCCTCTGCCGAGGGGGGTAAGACTCCTGGCGCACGACGAGAGACCAGCAGCGGTGCCGCTTGCCAACCCCTCGCGTATGACATGCGGAGCATCCTCGGAGGGTGCCGCAGGGCGTCTCGATTGACGCGAAAGCGAAACGCCCGAAACGCCTCTGCGGACTCGTTCTCTGCGAAGCTCTCTGGTTGCGGTGCGAAGGACCGAGACTCACAGGCAGCCGCGCGAGCGTTTTCAAGGGTTTTGCACAAGGTGGGTGAAGTGAAATAGTGTTTCAACACGAGGCGGCCGACGGGAATTTGTATGGTGGTCGAAGTGTGTTTTGGTAAAGTGTCGCTGGTAAGGATGAGCTCACCTTGCCAGTTCGCTATCGGCTGCAGTTTAGTGTAGGCTCATCATCAGGTGTTGCTGTAGTGTCAGAGTGAGGCGTGCCATGTTCGTAGCTCTTTCGAACCGCGGGTCGTGTGCTTTGCTCTATGCTAAGTACAGCCAAGGCATACTTCGCGCCCTTTTTTTTTCTCTCTCCATCATTTACGCCTACTCTTTTTTTTTTGCTGCTAATGCAGGAGCACTTCACCCAGATGCGTGTGGTTGGCCAGTTCAACTTGGGATTCATGATCTGCCTGTTGGGCTCAGATCTGTTTATCTTGGACCAGCACGCCTGTGACGAGAAGTACAACTTCGAGGTGCTTCAGCAAACCACTACCATCCATCAGCAGCCTCTTGTCAGGTAGGCTATCGTGTGTCGCTCGCATGGCCTGGTGCACCGTACGTAAATAAAGCTCTTGCACCCCGAGTAAAGCATTTGGTACCTTGGAGCTTCAACGCAAATTGCAGCATTGGGATGGCTTGGGTGTTTGCGGGAGTATTGATGAGAAACCAGCTTCATCGGAGTTCCCGGCCGTCGTTTCCGGCATTCCAGCCCGAATCCTGCGAGTGCTTAGGCAATCACTACTACCGGGGCAATCGAGTATCAATGTCGGAAAGATCCAGTCCCCACTCGTTGTGGTTCAGTGGATGAACACGTCCACGCGAGTCCACAATGCGCTTGTCCTAAGCATAGTCTACTTGTGAGGTTCAAGCGCCAGATAGTAAGCGCGCGCGGTTGGGTGTTTGTGTGAATGAAGAGAGTGTTAAGCGGCTGAGAAGGTGGAGGCAGATCGTCTTGAAAAATGTGCTTGTGCGCGTCTGCCCTTTGTGCCCGCAGGCCTCTACCTCTCGAGACCTCTGCTTCCGAGGAGATGACCATCATCGACAACATCGCCTTGTTCGAGAGGAACGGTTTCCGCTTCACGGTGAGAGGGACAACTTAGCACGTTCTCATGATTCCTCATATTTGCCGCATGGCGGGCGAGCGTTCTCCCTTCTACATGCCACAGTTCCGGGAGGGTGTTTCGATATTTTTTTAACCCGGCTGCCTGTCTCCTTGTGGTGCGCAGATCGACGATGACCAGCCCACAACGAAGAAGCTCAAGATCACGGCGATCCCCTTCAGCAAGGGCACGCAGTTCGGCGTGGACGACGTCCACGAGCTGGCGTCCATCGTGGCGGACAACACCAACCCCGGAGAGATGGTGCGACTCCCGAAGGCACGCGCCATGTTCGCAAGCCGCGCCTGCCGGAGCTCGTTCATGATCGGGAAGGCGTTGGACAAGGGACAGATGGCGCGAGTGGTGGCGAAGATGGCCACCATCGAGCAGCCCTGGAACTGCCCACACGGACGCCCGACGATGAGGCACCTGGCAGATGTGTCCGCGAGCTTGCGCACGGCAGCGGGGTTGGAGCCGCTGCTGACAGCATGAGGGGCACCCTACGGTAGAAAGATGTTGGGAGTTGGGAGGTGGTGACAATCTGGTCTGGTGTCGAGAAAAGGTGCTCGAGTGCTAAAGTATTTGTCTTGTGTGTGTCCAGAATTGCACCGAAGAAAGGTGTAAGGACCGACGTCCAGACTAGTTGGGGCGATTTGTAGAGTTGTTGTACCTGCTGCCTGAACAGACCCCGAAACGGATGTTGACAGTTTTTTTCTTTATAGAGTATTTGCCGTGATGATCAAATCAGGAGCATCAGACAAGAGTTTCGAACGGTACAGGGCCGGACACCCCATTCTTTTGTTGCTTTCCTTCACTGCTGTGTTTTGAGCAACCTGCAGTCTTTCGCGTTCAACAAGAAAGAATATCCTTCATGTACTGCTGTTGTTACGGTCTCCATAGCCTTATAGATGCAAACTGCCGACGAGCTTCCAAGTGCACGGAAGAACACACCTGCAAGCGAGAACACCCCGAAGAATTCGAGCCTTCTTCATTTGGCGCTTTTGACACGACGACCTTCTCTACAGCGATCGACCCAGCTTCGACCATCACCCGGGCCGCCCTCCTCTGTCACGATGTGTGTAGGGGTTGCTTGCGGAAGAGACCGAAGATGTTGTGGTGATTGCCTCTCTGGGACTTTCATTATTGCCTGCCTGTGGCACCGGAGCTTAGCTCAGTTGTAGAGGCTGAGGAGGTGTAACGTTGGGGAGTGATGCATAAGGAATTCTCGCAAATGTCAGTCATCAGGTACACACCCACTTTGACAAATTGGTCAGGAGCACATCCCAAGCATGCGCATCTCACATGTGATGTTTGCGTTGGTTAGGAGCATCCCAAGCATGCACATCTCACGTGTGATGTTTGCAGCCGGGATCTTCATTGTTCTAAGTAAATTGTGGACCCATGGTCTAACAAGCGGCGCAATCAACAACCTTGCCGACTCTGATGAGATTCAGAATTGCATGATAAGAAAAAGGACTACAACGAAGTGTGTGAAGGTTCTGTTCTTCACACACGCGTCACACGTGCTCCTACGTATCATTGTTACTACAATGTAGTACATCCTACCGTACATCACACTTGTGCTGTTGTTCTACTGTATTTCCATCCCCCTCCTCCTCCTCCTCCTCCTCCTCCTCCTCTTCCTCTTCGCTATCCGAGTTGCTTCCGTCTTCACTAGATTCTGCAGTCTGTGCTCGAGCAGCCAGCTCCACCATGATCACATCGGCCCTGCGACGGAGAATATCAGCACTGCCTTGGGAACCGCCTTCTTCGCGGATTGCGGCTAGCTCGCCTAAAGCAACGGCATGATCGCTGTTCAAGGGTTCCGGCAGAGCTTCGTGTATGCGCAATATGCGCTCGTACATTTGGATCGCGACATCCACTTTTCCCTGCAGTCGACACACTCGGGCAAGATGCGCCAGTGTTCTCGCCGTTACGATGTCCGTCTGCAAAAGGATCACAGACGTGGAGCAGGGGTCAGTTAATGAAGGTGATGCCTTGCTGCAAGGAGGCGAGAATGGGGTGTGAGCAACCTCTGGGGCCTGTACGTGCACAAATCTTGCACAGCAGTCTAGATGACCTGATAACGTACCTCTCCAAACGCCGTAAGGCACGCAGATACCGCCTTGGTAAATTCTTTCTCGGCGATCTCGGTGCTTCCTTGCTTCAGGACACCCAGGGCATTGGCGAGCAGAGGGTTGACGATCTCCATGGGTGTTCTATCTGCGGCACGAGCTCGAGTTCAAACAACAAATTGAACATGATGGCATCGTGATGCATGATCAACAAAAAGCACAGGATATGATAGGGGCCCCGCAGATACATAGTAGACGTATAAACAACAATACTTGCCGTGAGCCCCCTCACGCGGCACCCGAGTGCGGAAGAAACACACCGCTGAGCACCCAGCGAGAGCACGCACGAGAGAGAGCGAGAGGGTGCAATCACATAGCACTTGAGCAAAGGAGCGGGCGTGCATTCTGGCCTCAATATGGCTTCAACAAAGTTCCTGGAAGACATGCCAGGGATTGTTTGCGACAACGGCACCGGGTTCGTGAAGGTGAGCAACACACAGCAACTTACTTTCCCCACGTTCTCGCCAACAGCTGTGCCTGTTTTCTTTTGGGACGGGGAATGTTCCATAGAGACAATGGAGGGGGTTGGCTGAGATAACCAGGCTGGGGTGGCTGCATCTAGGTTGTGTTTTCCATGAAGCAGGGGTTGCCGCACCCCTCGGTAACCTTTACGTACTGTAACCTGTAAACATTTTGTGTTCTTCTTCGCGTCTATGTACTTCATTAGCATAATTGTCAGAAAAAGCATTGCGCAGCTCTGAACGCCCAGCAGCCTCTTGACAATACAAATTCTGCTATGCATTGATTTGTCGGTTCTCTCGCATGTTCAGCTGAGTTGTCGTTGCCGTGCTTTCTCTTCCCAAAATGTTTGGATGCGCGTCACAAAGGTTGGGTATGCCGGAGAAAACTTTCCGCGGTCCATCTTCCCGTCGCTCGTGGGGAGACCGATTTTGCGTGCCGAAGAAGCTTTCCAGGAGGGCGTAGAGCTGAAGGATATCATGTGTGGAGACGCCGCGGCCGCCGTTCGCGCTTCGCTGGAGACCAGCTATCCCGTAACCAACGGTATCATCCAAAACTGGGACGATATGGAGGAGCTGTGGAAGTACACTTTCGAAGAAAAACTGGCCATCAACCCCTCGGACCATAAGATTCTCCTCACAGAGCCCCCGCTGAACCCAACCAAGAACCGCGAGCAGATGGTGGAGCGTATGTTCGAGAAGTTCGGTTTCGGGGCGTGCAACGTGTCAATCCAAGCCATGCTAACACTATACGCGCAGGGCTTGCTGACGGGGGTCGTTGTGGACAGCGGCGACGGCGTCAGCCACGTAATCCCGGTGTACGACGGGTTTGTCCCGCAAAACCTGATTCGCCGGTTGGACGTCGCCGGGCGCCACCTGACCAGGTATCTCATCAAGCTGCTGCTGCTTCGTGGGTATGCCTTCAACCGCACTGCCGACTTCGAAACCATCCGCCAAATCAAGGAGAAACTGTGCTACGTGGCGCACGACATAGGAATGGAGCGCCGCTTGGCGCAGGAGACGACCGTTCTTGAGGAATCGTACACGCTGCCCGACGGGCGAGTAATCAAGCTCGGGCGCGAGAGGTTTGAAGCCCCAGAACCGCTGTTTGACCCAAGCCTCGTGGATGTGGAGGCGCCAGGTCTGGGGGACATGGTGTTCGAAATGATTCAGAAGTCTCCTATGGACTGCCGGACCGACTACTATAAGCACATCGTGCTGTCTGGTGGCACGTCCATGTACCCCGGGTTTCCAACCCGGCTGGAGAAGGACATCAAAGCAAGGTATGTAATGTAAAACACCACACCGTTTACTTGGGAGATGTGCCTATTTCAGCGATCCTGCAGTTTGAGAGCGTAGTGATAAACGTGAAGGGGCACCATGGGAATGCATCACACTTATCTTCGTTACAATATCCATATTAGCAGCGCAGGCACCGGTCTTGACTCGTGTTCTCGTGTATGCGTTGCCCTTATCCAAGCTATGCATAGCCGGTCGCCCCCCGGTGGTCTAGTTGGTAACCTCGAAACCTTCTAGAGGTCAGGTCAGGGGTTCGAATCCCGGCGTAAGCGAGCTTTTCTTGCAAAGTGAGTTTTTCTCTCGCTTCCGCTCCTGGCCTAGTGGATAGCGCTAGTTCGTGTGTACACGGAGGGAAGAGAGTGCTGAACTCTTCTCGCATTAAAAATCGAAGGCAAAGTACCGCAGGAGGGGAGGGTAGAGAGGGACTCTTCTGTGTGACCACGGGTTGGAGTAAACGGCACTAGGTGCTGTGAGCGCTGATTTGAAGTGAGCACAAAAAAAAAAAAAAACTACACAAGTGTATTCTCTCTGCAGCCGCTCTAGTGGAATCGGGACCTCCTCGACTTTTTCCTCTCGGCGATACCCGGCACTCTCCTCGCGGTAAACCATTTTATCTCGATACTCTAAAGGTCCAGCAGTCTTCGTACCCTCAACAATAAATGTGTCCCTTCGACGTTACGCTCTCCGACTGACGAAAGCACTTCCTTCCACGCCCGAAGGATTCTCCCTCTCTATCTGTACAGTACCGACTTCAAAACTCTCTTCGCGATTACACCCGCGCATGTACCCGCCCGTGCCAGGTATCTCAAGGACATTCTCAAGGGCGACGCGGACCGGCTGAAGAAGTTCAAGCTCAACATCGAGGACCCTCCTCGCCGGAAACACTTGGTTTTCATTGGGGGTGCGGTGCTCGGGGATGTGATGAAGAACCGACACGAGTTTTGGGCTACAAAGGAGGAGTGGGACGAGGAAGGAGCGCGGGTCCTGCAAAAGTACAGATGATGGGCAATATGATGCCCTTTGCTGCTGTCACGTCGACTCGCACGTTGTTCTTGTTTTTGATTTTGGGATGGCGGCACGCTGTGGTAGTCCAATAGAAAGTCGGGTTATAGTTCGTGTATTCCGATGTGAAGTAGCTGCAGTTTTTGTCTTTGATGATTTTTTGGGAAATATCGAAGGTTTTCATTCCCAAATCAACACGTGGTTCGCGACCGACTGCTGTGCTTTGTTTGCCCAGCCAGCTGGCTGGCATCGGTAAGACGTTTGTGTGACTCGCATCCACACCGCATGTAAATTTACTCCTTTGTTCCTCTGGAGGCTGCGTTTCGCCCCTCCTGATCAACTTACCTTGCCCGGCAGCAATCATTGCAGTCTGGTCCACTTAAGGCAGTCCTCGCTGTTTCACGAGCCACAACATTGGTACCGTGAAGCATTGCGCTTCATACATCTATGTACGAGTCAAGCGCTGCCACAAGGGCCAAGTTGAAGGACCGAACTCTCTCAACAGATGCCCACGAAACTGACATGGTAAACAATTCCCACGTTGGCTCCTGCTGGGCTTCCTGTGCGTTTAGGCAATCCTCGAGGCCACAGGGCAATCGCAGATGGTTGATGCCCTCTACAGCAGCACTCACGGTTTCGAACGACAGGGAGCTTCTCCAGACAAACGCAGCTTGTTCATCCACCGCCCTTCGTCGTTTTCTCTCGTGACGGCTGCTTCGCGTACACATGCGAAGCTAACACCTCACATTCAGGGCCTTCACAACACCCCCCCCCCCGACATAACATGACACACAAGTGAGCCGATCTTCGCGACTGAGGTGCTCCTCATCATTCTCCTCGAGGTCCACCCACCCAGCATTTCGACCTACCAGCGTTTGTCTTGCACGTATCCCAGGCCAAACAGCGTGTCGTACGCCAGCTCGTTAAATATGTCCTTGGAAGCAGGTGAAGTAAAACACTCCTCCCACCCACCCGCCTCCCCTTTGCGCGTCATCCTCCAGCTCTTGTCGCGGTCGGGGTACTTTTCGTCGAAAATGAGCAGACCGCGTGCCTCCTCCTTTCTACGCATGCTTTTAAAACTTGACCGGACAATCGCCCGCTGGAGAACCTTTTCGCTGTGGTCCAGACCCGCCCACTTAGAAACCTTTGCGGCAGCAATATATCGAAGCGCACGACGGCAAGGCGGTCGCCGGCTTAGACAACACGTTGACCACGATATGGGTGGGAGGCCGGTTTAGCCAGAGAAAGTTCACGGTGTGTTCCGTGGACCAACTACACACCCCAAACAGTGTACGCAACGCATGCAACGCTTTGGCGATACGAATGACACAGTTTTTACCGATGCGTGGAAGAGAAATCTGTACAAGTGCGCTATAGGTTCTGCCTGTCGCAACATTAAACGTCGGCGCTGCTCTCACCTCTACCAGCGTTTCCAGCGGCGCGCGATGAAGATCTTCGTATTTCACCGTGAGGACGTCGTAGGAAGAATTTCCCTTCAGGTCCAGGTAGCTGTTGACGTGCTCAGCCCAGGTGAACCCAGGATATGTGTCTGCCTGATACGCAAGTATAGAAGGATACCAAAACAGTAGGTCTAGTAAGGTTCAAGAGAAGAGGCATCGAATATGAATCCCTACCTAGGACCAACGATGCCAACAAGTTGTTTGACGACCCTCCTCTGTCGGAAAAACCACACCTGCTCTCAGTGTACCACACTGCAAACAATATAATAGAAGTTATGCTCAAGTCGATCAGGCAAATCCTGTTAGGTATCCTAGATTAGTCCACGCAGAGGCGACTTAAACGGGCTGCTGTGGCACATACAGCACTACCACGCCCCGACTCTCAACTCATGGATGTAGGATGGGCGGCATGCACCTGCTTATTTGTAGGTATCCAGCTGCCTGCAAATGTCATTGTATGAAAACAGCATAGTATAGTCAAGTGAAGACGTATGGTCACCCCGCCCTACTTTGCACCCTATCATACGATACAGCTCTAGCACAATCACGAAAAAGACTTGCTTCCTATGCATTCTACGCGGTCCATTTCCGGGAGGTCGTCGGCCGCAAAAACGGAACTTACACCCAAATACAGAAGTACAAAGCATGCCTTCAAAACAGGGGTGCAAGCTTCAAATGTTTTCAGCAAGGCGCTTCAGTTGTGTCGCAACTATTGAACCCTCCACGTGCCTTCAAGAATTCCTCAAACCCCATGTCGGGAGGATCCAAGTTGTTGAGGCCCATACGGAAGTGGTAATAGCTGCACATTACGTCTCGCCCATCTCGAACGAGGTGCAAAATCCGGCGCCACTTAGGTGGGCAGTTGGGGCACGCGCACTGAGTAAAAAAGCATCAAGAGCAAAGCAGCAGCATTAGCGAAATTCAACGTGAAATCCGGCGCCACTTAGGTGGGCAGTTGGGGCACGCGCACTGAGTAAAAAAGCATCAAGAGAAAAGCAGCAGCATTAGCGAAATTCAACGTGAATTTTTTGCAACAACTTTGGCCCAAGAAGTCCTACACCACAAGCGATTCTCGGCAACCCCTTCGATTCTACTGAAACTTGCGCCTACAGAACGGCAATTTTGTCCCACTCATCAGCATAGCGAAGAGACCAACTGCGAGACCATTTCCAACGAAAAACGGAAATGGCCAAGAGCGAAGAACAAACGGTACTGTGCCTGGTGGTCGTCCATGGTACCCACAGTGTCGGCGCATTTACCGGCAACCGCTTTCGGGGCGAACGGCTGGTGACTTTTGAAGGCGCGGAACTTGTCGTGGAGTTGGTAATCGCGGCGGTTAGGGCCGTACTCCAGGTCCGGGATGGTGCGCTCTATGGAGTTGAAGTCTATCTCTCGGTGCCAGTTGGATTCGCCTGGCTGAGAGTAGAGCCACGTGTGTGCGAGAAGAAATCGCACCCAAAAGTTCCCGCTCTTGGGGTAGCTCACTACAAATAAATCGCTTGGAAGCTGACGAGCCGGCGGAGGGTTGGGCGACGGGCGCGAAAGGGGGGTTGCCGTTGTTGGTGTTGGCGTTTTCTCCGCAAAGAACACACGGTGACCTCTACCTAGAGTGTGTAGCTTCGGTCCGCTCGTCTAACCAGCAATAATGGCTTTCGCGCTGGCATGCTAGCACAAGCGGAAGAGGGTCAAGAAAGCTTCTGTAAATTACCCAAACCATGAGCAAAGGCAAACAAGTAGACCACACGAATGCACCGAAGCGGGAAATCAGAGTGTGGGCAACGCAAAAATATAGCTGACACAAACCGATACGCATACACGTACAGTAGCCGTTTTCTGGAGTAAGTAACACACTGAAAGAACCATTCTCGCAACCCTCGTGCGCTAAGCCGGAGTAAGCTGAAGACTGACCACGTTGGTTCCAGCCAGACAATAGCCCCCCCACACACACGCAAAGGTGTGCGAAGGGCAAACCACCGCATACTTGTCAATGAAGGAGGTACTTCATTCCTCGAACACTTACGTTTAGGGGCTACGTGGATGCTATATGGGTATGATGGACATGACGAGCGAGGCTTTTCTTGCGTCGCCCATGCCTGTCACTCGCTAATGGGTACCATGGCACAGTTAACTATTTGCTGTGCAAGACGCTCTCGACGAGAGCCCGTGAGCGTGACAGCGAGGCACACGCAACGACGCCCAAACAACACCCTCCCGCCCCCTGCGCTGCCGATGCTTCCTTCTGCTGGCCACGAAGAGTGCGTCCCGTTGTCTTCGGAACACTCGAAATCATTCCCGCTTTGTCTTCTTGTCTCACGCGAAGACTAGACCTTGTCGTCCAACATCCTCCGCAGTCTTACGGTGGAGGAAGCACACGGACTACAATCGTTTTCGTGAAGACCTACTCACGTCTCTCTACGGGTCAGCCCGTTAGTGTGGCTGGTACAAAATAATACAGGAGCACCACACACTGGTGACGAGGGTGCGGTTGCTGCCGCAGCAGGTTGGACGAGAGTTTCCCAGTCTTGGCTTACCGGAAGTTCTCGTGTGGAAATCTGTCGCTCGTCGACGAAGCGGTAGATCAGCGCCACTGCGAGGACAAATAGCCAGGTGATGGAAGGTACCCAGCTACCTTTCCTTGGTTCTTTTTCACCCGATTCAGCGTTGCTCGGTTTGCATGGCGCCTTCTCAGCTTGGTGGCCATCTGCAGCGGGCCAGCGACAGACGGTAGTACCAGTTGGGGTGCTGATGTGCGGCAGTAGACTACAGCAGTATCAACTTTGTGGTACTCTGTAGACAGACGGAGACAAGGGCCTCCTCTATGTATACCAATCCCGTCCGCACACGTTTGACAAGCGACGGCAAGAAAAAGGTGTGCGACACGCCCGCATCCGACCGTTCTTATGGTACATGGCTTAGACGCCCCCTGGACTACAGAACGAATCCATGTACAGTACGGGCCCGGAGATAAGAAACGTCAAAATCGGGTCGAGGCTCAATCCCTTATTTTGCGTCGAAGGACCAGCCGAAGTCGTCCATTTTCTTAAAAGGCATTTCTTATTCCTTTGGACTGTCGCATCCTCCTGATTCTGTTATTTCTCATTATCTATAATTTCTGGCTAAGATGCATATAACAACACCAAACATTCATGCAGCAGTGGGTAAAGCAGCCCGCGGAGGCGCCGAGCAGTTGTATAGCGCGGAGGTGGAGGGGACAGCGCCAACAGTCACTCTCCCCCCCTACGAAAAAAAACGTTGTCCAGCTAGGTACGGGGGGAGTGGGAGCACGGAAGGAGCAGCAGTGGAACGTTTCATATTGGATACGCTCCCCCAGCAACCCTTGTTTCTCATGTATTGGGAGTATCGCACGATCATGTTTCTTATTGCGACGTTTCTTATGTTGTGGCCGAGATCGAGCTCTGTTTCTTAGTCCTTTTTTCTTGCTTTTCGTCAAACGTTGAGCCTTTTTTCTTAACGGAATTGTTCTCAATTGCGGGCCCGTACTGTTGTAGGAAGCTCCGCAGATTGTAACCGTATGGTTGAAGTTATCCCCGTTTCCCCGGAGTTCCCAATGTATTTGGATTATTCTGGTTTTCAGTGCTCCTACAGCCAACCCCTTTGATCAGAAGCCGCTTGGCATAGCTTCGACAAGGGTTTAGGTGAGCGTGAGTGCCGTCCCCATAGCGTTGTGTTGAGTGTGAAGCCTTAGCATAGCTTTGGACAGCCTCGTGAGATTGGATAGATAAGCGGTTGAGTTACAGTAGGTGTTCTTGCTGATCAGGAGTTCACCTTTAGGCCGACTAAAAGAGACCACATTCGACTCTACCTCTTGTGCACAATAGAGACCCGTGACTGCATCACGAGCATCGACAGCGTTGACCAAACATTCCTTGGACCCGACGTACTAGCAGAACCACCCTTGCTAGTAGAACCACACCTCACTTGTGATTGGTTCGCAGTGCTCCACATCAGAACACAAACCCAGCTAAAAGCTTACATCACAGTACTGCAGGACATGTACAAGCAGTGTTGCCAGCGCCGGTGGTTAAAACAAGAGCGGTTGATGCTCTTGGTAAGACTGCCGAACTGTAGACCGCTGTTGCAAATACATACGAAGGCGAACAGACAACTACCACGCCCCGACATAAAAGTACGTACAGGCTAAAGCAGGAGCTGTTGGCTGCCGAAACAAGGATTGATTCGCTGGAGAAGGGTACCTTGCAGCTAGCGATGAACAGCAGCAGTTGCACAAGAACCCTAAAACCGTATTCCGTTTTTGAACATTTGAACATTTGAACACTTGAGAAAGATCAAAGCTCGCAGAAAATCTCCAGGTTCCGTGGTCAACCATCAGATTTCCCTTGCAACCCCCCGATCGCCAAGAAACCTCGCACTCACCTTGTCGTCGAGAAGCTTTGCCCATCTGTGCATCTGTACCAAGCTGGGTGTGGTAGCAGCGCAGCGAGCGGTGCGTTCCTGGAGGCTCCGTGGATGTTTACGCGGGAAAATTCACACCGCTCCATTTTCTCGCCTGCGTACCCGCCGGTTGTCCGCGGTTGTCCTTGCTTGGCCTGCGACCGTCGAGGCACACTAAATCGCTTATCACGTGTACGCTCTGTCTTGATCGAGATGGACTTCTCTTCAACCCACGCCGCTCTCCGGAGCCTCAAGAGGAGGCCCACAACATCGGATGCGCTGAAGAACCTCGCTGAGAAACTGGAGGGCCCCTTTGCTGGCGAGTTATTGTGTGACTCCTGTTTGGCCGTCAAACCAAAAGTAGGCTACGATCCTCGTCGGCTGCCTACAGCAGTAGTCTACACCCCTTCGCACAGCAGTGTTTGTCAACCTTGCTGGAGAGGTGGAGAATGCCTGAGCAATCAACCCCGCCATGCGCGAACACTGGCTGCTGCTGTGTGTCTGCTGTATTTCGTTTTGACATCAGGGGACGGCAAGGGCTTGGGAGACGACACTCAAGATGTCGAGCAAGACGTGCTGGAACTGCTTGGCACCGAGGAGTGGGAGGGAGTGTCCGTTGGCTTCCTCCTTGCGAAGGTGCTGTTAGCTTGCGCTGCCGCTACCTTGAGATTTGTATGGCCCAAGCATTTGAAGCCAACCAATACAATGTTAGGATAAATAAAGTAATAATGATGTGTTTTGGTAGCACGTGAGCTATTTTACTTGTGTGCGGGAGAACTACTGCTGTACAATATGCACTTGCATTTTGTCTTATGTATACAACAGCAGGAGGTAATTGCGCTGTCCAATCAAAATTGCCCCTTTTGGCAAAGGACCGGCTTACCTTTTTGTCTAAGGATGCATATTGTATCGGATCCACATCTGCCTTTTTGGGTTGTATCCGCTTCCGGTGGATGGTGAGCGGGACCATCATTTGCAGAAGACGTTGACCGGGATAAAATACTGCCTGCTGTTTAAACTGTGTGGGTCGGCGCCGTCGGATATTGATGTGTCCACACTGCACCTCGATCAAGCAAAGAAAACACACGGCGGAGCAGTGTCCTCGCGGCTTGCGAAACACGTTGCCAAAAGTGCTAAGCCGCTGGTGCCATCTGCTGTGGGTGTGTGATAAGTGCACCGGTTTCAGCTGCCCGGCTGCGAGGTTGACTGGCGGAGGGAATTGGGTGTTTATATTGTAGAGTGGTGAAGTTGCCAAAACAACTCGAAAAAAGAAGGCGCCAAGTTACTTTGAGACCGCTGATTGGCAGACGACGAGTTTAGTTTGTCCCGCCGCGTGTTTCCTTTGTCGGGCCATCGACCGCGGAAACAAATGCTCTGCAACGGCCGTGGGAACTCTGCTCTTCACTCTTCGTACGCTGCCACCGATTTGGTTTTGTCGATGATTCCGATCCACGGGCCAAGTGTATGCCTCACCTTGTGTGGTGGCTGATTGAGACCACGAGGCGATGAGACTCAGGGATTGGAGTGGCAACAGCCGATTGCATGCGAGGAAATAACTACCGCTGCCATGTCCAAGTCTCTGGACTCGTTTGCCCGACACGTCGGATTGTTAATGTCGAATCAGGCTGAATGAAAACAGGAACGGCTGGGGCGATGAGATAACCATATGACACAACTCGTGTGACCACAGCAGTTAGAGGTTGCGGGGATCAATCTTCGAGAGATATAATCTTCTGGGTGATGCTTATTGTGGGATGATGTGGAAGAGTCACTGGGCTGGCTGAACAGAAAAGGTCACAAGCGGACAGCCCCGGCTTGTCCAAACGTTCCACACAGATGGACTCATGGGGCGATCCGAAAGGGTTCTCCAAACTTAATTATTGATTATCCAAGATTGACTTTTCATTTCCCTCCGCGTTCCCGGGTCGCTGCTGTTCGTCAGAGCTTGGTGGACAACAAGGGTCAAGCCCTCAGCCCTTCGTTTCTTCGCTCGCTCCTGGCGCACTGCGACCAACATCTCGAGCACGCCGAGCCGCGGGTCCGCTCGCTCGTGGCCAGCACCCTCGGAGCTCTCACGAGAGCGGACGATGAGTCGTCGTCAGGCTGCACTGGGCTCGCGGCGTACGAGTTCTTTAGGAAGAGGTTGTCGGGGGCCATCAGCAAGAACTTCGAAAGGACGACGGAGACCATAACCGACGTGATCAGCGGGGCGGAAAACGTTGCCGTGGATGACACGTCCGGCTGGAAGGCGCTCGAGACCAGCTTCCTGGCACTCAAGGTGCGCCTTCCTCGCTTCCTTCTTCCCTTCCTTGTGGGGGTATTGGTCTCGTCTCGTCGTATGATACATTGCAACGATGTATCGCTGTCACTGTTGCCATTGTCGAGCAAGCAAGCTGTTTGAGATGTTCTTCTGGCCCGGGTGTTGTGCGCCGTTCTCTTGTGTGTCGTGAAACACCTTCATCCCCGAACCGGGTGTAAGCAACCAAAGCCGCATGGGAGGGCTGGGTTTAGTCTGCGGCAGCGGGAAGTTGTCATGATCACGCCCAAGCCTGTTGGTGTTTCAACCCCCCCCACCAGCTGCTGAGGCTGATTCCATGGACATACATACTGAAGGGCGATCTTTAGGATTGGCCTGGACTTATGGACTGACACTAACTGTGGCCGGAAGTAGAGGTGGCTAAGTCGGTGTCACCGCTGCTGCGACGACGAGGGGGGGGAAGTAGTTGAAGTGATGTTGGATACATGTGGCCCTCTCTCTCTCTTGTTGATATGGGACCCCCCAGCCGGGCTCCTTTTTGCACGAAGCGCTCAAGTGTATGAGCTTGACTCGACGTTGACTCGATGTAACGGACTGCTGCTGTGTCCCACTCCCCCCCGTTCGCGTTTTCATCGACGTTACTGTACTGTAGGAGTTCGTTGATGCCGTGGGCAGGCCTTTCATTGACGGCGGGCATCTAAACGACGAAACGGTGGGGTACATCGTGTCGGGAGCGACGGTGCACATCAACAGACACGTCCGTGAAGCTTCGTACCAGATCATCAGGTGAGACAAGCTGTTTTCGCCGCAAGCGTTGTGCAGGGAGGCCATGTCTCACTGGGACCACTTGCCTAGCGGGAGGATTGATCAATCCAGTCCAATTGATTATCCATGTCCGGAGGAATACAGCAGCTCTTTTTGTCAGGTTCGAAGTAGGTGGAATGAGTCCCGCAAGCGTGACCCCCCCCCCCCGTACCTGGGAAGTTCTCTACGACATGCTTGTGCTGGCACTCCCTGTTCTTGTCCGCGAAAAAGTCGAGAATGAGAGTAGGGTAAAGGGGAACCAGTGACAATCCACCCGCTGAACCCTGGGGCACTCGCTACCGGTTAAGTTTCGGTTCGGCAGCTCTTGTTACACGTGATACTGCTGTAGTTGCGATTCCGCCGTGCTGCAGGCACGTAAGTAAATTGACTGACTTTGACTTGACCCGAGGTGCTGGTGCTAGCGTGCTGTGCTCTCAAAGTGAGCCGAGTTCTATGTTTGATCCGCACGGTCCAACGAACCACTGGCACCACTCATGGTATCATACAATACCTGGAAGTATCTACTTGTTTTCTCTATCCCTCCCTTGTCTGAGCCCTGCACGCGCCTCTCGCCCCCTATCTATCTACCCTGAACTGCCGCACCCGATCGAAGGAGTATCTTGGATGCCTGTGGCACGCTAAGCGGGTCGAACGCTCCGCAGCAAGGCGACAAGCTGGCCCACACGTTTGCGGAGGCGTGCGCGGTCGGCATGCAAGACAACTGGAGTCAGGTTCGCTACGCGGCGTCGGTGGCCAACCGCTCACTCCTGAAGGCTCTCTCCCCCGCAGACAGGGAACAGTTCTACCCCCGCCTTCTGCCGCGCATGTGCCTCAACCGGTGGGTGTTTCACTTCGTGCGAGACGAGACGAGACGAGACAACACATTTCGAGGTCGACACCCGCCCCCCACGCACTTGTGTTTTTTTTTCCCACTTGAGTGTTGCGGGTGGGGCTTTCACTGTGATGTGTACCCATATGGTATCGTATCCCCTGGGGGTAGCTTTATTTCTTGGTGGGAAACGACCCCGATGACGAGGCTACGGATCTTGCACGGTGCTCAGGGGTAGCGGAGACTTCTGTCTCAATAATTGTTTGATGGGTCTCACCCGATGCCTGCTTTTCTTCTTGACCCGTCCGGCGTACTCCGTCGTTTACTCACCCAACAGCTACTACCTTGCGGACGGGGTGAAGTTGTTCTCCCAGGAGACCTGGCGCATGTTCATGGGCGAGGAGGGGCGCGAGATGGTGGGCAAGTACGCCCAAGACGTGACAGACTACTACTGCATGGCCAGCGAGCTGGACAACCACTGCGTACGCGAGTCGGCGTGCCACAGCATCGCAGAGATGGCGGAAAAGGTGCAGCATGTTTGATGCATAAGTTCCGGTGTGTTGTCCTCGCTGCCGAGCAATGTAGACGTGCTACACACAAAGCATTATCCGTCATGTTTGTACAAGTGTCCCTTGTTTCGTATTCAGGGTGTTGAAATGCACGAAGCTCCCTGCTGCAGCGGTGTCTTTTTTTTTCGTGCCTACATTACTCACCTCTCTTGTGTGTTTTTTGTTCGTGTGCCCCCCACGATCAGGTGGCACCCCAATACCTGGCCACGCACGTAGATCGCCTCCTGAAGGCCCTCTTGGTGTGCTTTTTCGACGAGAGCTGGCCGGTCAGAGACGCGGCCTGCGTCGCCAGTGGGCGGTTTGCGGGAGCCTACCCTGAAGAGTGCCGCCCCAGCCTGGAAAAGCTCTATGAGAGGTTTGTTTCGTCCCGCTACTTGCCTAGGATGGTTACGTTTGCCGCTCTTCTTTGTACCAGAGTTTGTTTTAGCCCACGCACAGGCCTCGGCTTGCGGTCTGGAGGTGTTTGCGGACACCAACGTTTGGTAACTCTCATGTCATTATTTACTTGCCGACTGTTTTTGTTTGTGCTTGTGCGATGCGGTTGTTGTTTGTTGGTGCTTCAGGTGGTTCCGGCACGTGGGCGACCCCATCTGGTCTGTGCGGGATGACAGTGCCACCGCTCTGGGCGCGGTGTGTAAGGCCTACGGCGAGGAGGCGTACGACAAGTGAGATTTAAGCGCACGCTTGATGCATTGAGCCGACTGGCTCGATTTTTCATGTTCGACTCCCCGGGCTTTCCGTGGTCTTGTGGAATACTGGGGTTGTGTACGGCTCGGTACGGGTTTCTCAAAGGCTCCGATCTGTGCTTGCTCGTGTCCATGTTTGGCTGCTGTACTGTATGGCGCCGCGCGCCTGACCCATCGTCCTGCTGATGTGACGCCCTTTTTTTGGGAGGCAAGTGTCCGAAGGCCGGAAAGTGTTCAGCTACAGCAGTACGTACTCCGAAGTAGCTCTCTATGGCTGCTTGGGTGGCGACCCCAAGCAACAAATGCAGTCCCGCTCCACACCGCAACGCTCTCTTGATGTACGTTTATCCTTGCCATGTTGTTGGTGGTTGTTTCGAGCAGGGTCTCTGCGTGGGTGACGGAGAACCTTCCGAGGGCGAAACAACAGGGGGCCGAGAGCGCGGAGCAGCACAGACGCAAGCACAACGACGCGAAGGCGCACACCGGCAACCAAGTCTTCTCGTGCGGCTCGTTGGCGCCCAAGCTGAGAAAGGGCGGTTGCTCCGACTGCCAGGTACACTGCTATGCGTTTGCCGTCCGATGGCGTTTTGTTTGTGGTGGAAGTTTGCGTGGAACACGGTCTTGTGTCGCGTCGTACAACTGCTGTCTATTTATTAATAAGTTTGTGTTTGTTCCATAGTAGAAGATGGCTACAGACTGGTGGGATGACCTTGTTCTTTGCCTCTTGTCTCTTGCAAAAGTTTCTCACAATGTACATGCGTGTGTCTCAAAGATTGAATGAAAAGATGCGGCGGAACTGGATTCGTTTGGCACGCAACGACGCTTGACTCGGCGCCAGCACAGACACCGTCCCTGCCCCCCTCCATTGTCTGGGGTTCCAGGTCACGCGGCCTAGCGAACCTTGGGAGTTCAGCGACGGTGCTGTGTACCTCGTTCGAGAGCTGTGCTTTGCCAACCCGGAGGTGGGCGTGACGTTCTTCGAAGAACTTGCGGACGTGGCGAGGTTGACCCACTTTGTGCAGGCAGACTGCCTGAGGGAGACCATCTGGAAGCAGGTAGAGTCCGAGTCCCGGAGGGGGCGCTGCAGTACGCCGTAGTAGCTGAGTCTAAACGTTTGTACCCACCGGGTTTATCGAATCCGTGGGATATGATGCAAGAACAACGATTTAATTCAATTTCCGCAACGGCGTCAGAGCTGTCGAGCTGTATGGGAAAAGTCCTGATTTTGGGCGTACGTTTTGCCGCGGGTGGCTCCAGGAATTCTTGTTGAACGCGCAACCGTTCTCTCACTGGGCCTGGCTATGTGTCATGTTGCTGTATCACGGGGACTACACTGGTACCATATTGATACTTGCAAGTCGCGGTGCAAGGGTATGCTCGTTCTGTGGCGCGAGCTCACCAGCAGCCACTGCTACCGCCGGGTCGCCAGTAGTAGTACATCCCATGTGCAGCCCTCATCTATCATTTAGCGCGTGTACAGCGGTAAATTCCTCGTTTTCTCCAGCAACAAGCAATATCCTTCCAAGTCGTGACTAACTGTGCCCTCATGTGATCCTCCCTCCGGTGCTAACGATCCAAACCCGTCTCGAAAAATGTCAGTTGCCGGCCATGGGTGAGGCTGTCGGCAAGAACGTCTTCAAGCGCCACCTGGACGTGTTTCTCAAGCCGCTCTTCGACACACTCTCCCGCATCACCACCAGCCAGCTAGCTCGCCACGCGGCGGCGTCTTGCGTCCGACAATTGAGCAAGTTTATCGGCCCGTCCATCTTCAGGGGGCGCCTCACGGATTCTCAGCGCGAGGTGATGAAAGTGGAGTTCGCGGGGTGTCTGTTAGGTCTGCCGTTGGTCTTTCGGGGGCGTCGGAGAATAGTCTCACTTAAAAACAGAATACTGCGCTTATGATCTCGAACGAGGAGTCAACTTTTTCTGAACCTTGGTAACTGTACACATAATTTTTTTCTCGGCATTATTCTGCGTTGCGTGTTTTGACCGCGAGGAGGTCTCTTTCGAAATGGAGCGCGGAGCATCGTCTGGGGCTATCATAACTCTCGCCAGAAACCTGTCGTTTGGAACGTCTTTTTTCTCGAGAAACTTTTCAGACAGGGTCCAAGCCGAACCGAAACCATGCATGGCATTTATTCCCTCCGGCCAAAAGCTTCAAGACCGTTGACTTTGCCCATCCGATGCCCTTTCCTCCGAATCTTCCTGTCGCCGCCTCCAGATAATGGATGCCGAAGTTCAACTTGGTGGGCCTCCCGGTCCGTCTGCCGGTCTGATGGGCATGACCAAAGCGCCATGGGCGACCATGGCGTCTTGATCCTGCCTTAGTTTGAACCGCGGTAGTAATGAGTCGAAACATGTCTTGCTGAGGCAGTTGGTTATCGTAGGGTCGGTGCCTCCGCTAGTAAAACTAATTGCCTGTTGTTGTGACCGGGTTGGTAGTGTCATGTAGGAGTAGACCAGGTAGGCGCGTATGCGATCTTTGTCAAATTTGTCGAAAAATATGGTCGTACCTAGCGGTTCGACGCTGCTGTGGCGGTTAAACCCTTTGATTGTACAGCACATGCGCAGCGTATGTGTGCACTGGTCTTACGCAAACACGGCAGCCTCTCGTCACGGACGGGCTCTCGTACTCGGTCAGTTGGCGAAGGAGACAGAGCAGGTTCTGAGATGACAGTGAAAGCGATGCGCGTGTGCTCATCAAGCACAGATGATGCACAACGAAGCTTTGTGTCGTGGTCACCCTCCCAATCTTGATGATGTCTTGCGACGCACTGGTTCGATCGTGCACTTCCGGCCTCGTGCGCGACTTGTTTCGAGCGTCCGTGCGCACTATGTAGTTCCAATCGAGACGTGCGCGAACTTTTTTTCGAGATGGTCCTTGCCATCATGCCGTCCCCTCTCAATCTACTAGTATTTTTTACACTTATCTCCGTATCGTACACGCTTTGGGGTTTTTACCAACGATAGCTTCCCCCCGTTCGGTTCGAAGACCCAGCGGCCTCGGTATTCCGTCACCATCAGTCCGTCTCGCGGCCAACGACACGTGAATATGCGGTGTGGGCGAGGGAAGAAGAAGCAATAGCAACAGCATTCGCCCAATGAACATCTGCTCTCAGCGCCGACGGAGCGCACATGGACCTCGCTACAGCAGAGACAAAACCCATCCAAAGCCAGCTTATCATACAGTACGCGAAAAAAACTAGTCAGACAAATTCATTCAAAGCTACGCTAACACGTTGTTACCAGATACACGCACACATGATTTTTGGCCATCAACACGAACCCGCAATACTACAGGCTGGGCGCAGAGCCTCATCGACCGATCCTTCCACTGCAACGTACGCACCGTCACCATAAATCATAATGCGCCCTCACACGAACACCGAAGTAACGCACACACAGTATCGGGTGCTCAGAAGAGGGTAAGATAAGCTCTCGAGCTAGCTGGCACAGACTGTACGACAACAAAATAAAGAACAAACGACCCCAACCTACCCCCCAGACTGTACCACATGCACCGCCCGACGCGCGGACGAACTCTACTACGAGTTCGTGGAAACGTTGTCACTCCTTCCCACACGATTGGACGAAAGTTCAGCCACCACGCGAAACACAGCAGTCAAAGAAAATGCCTAAAATGCGTCAGACGTCACCGTGTGTGTAGACTACATGTAGACTTCCATGTATTGTCATTCGTGTCGTCGTCTATCTATCGTGCTTGCTTGTACTTTCGAGCACATTTTTGGTCCTCATATCATCGCTGCATGCACTCGCCCTCGTTCGCCGTACATTGTCCATTGAGAGAACGCTACATTAGACATCCAACGTTGGTTATCCCAGCGAAAAACCTGAAACCTATGCCGTCAGGCAAACAACACCATCGGTCGGTTCTGAACGCCAAAACCTCCACCCCCCTTGCTAAACACACGTGTGGTGCGCAGTGTGGACTCCGTACATCATCACAGAAGAACTAAATACGCCTACATCTCTATCAAGCATATCTAGGACTGAGAAGCAACCTTGGAACAACACACGTATGTGCCTCGAACTACGCCAAACAAAACACGCATGACGATTGAAAGGATTAATCTAGCCACCCCCGGTCTCATCGAGTGGTATTCTATTTTCGTTTCGGATGACCGTGCCCTGTGTGCGTGTCGTAAGGTGACAGGGTTTGTGGGAAAGCGGCGGTATGTCTGCTGACTCCGGATTCTTTTTTCCAGCAGGGTCCTCATTCCGCGACCAGCTCGAACATGTTGTCCAGCTAGAGGAATCTGGACCGAAGCGCGACAAAAAATGGGCAACGAACATGGTGGGTGTGGTGTGAAACATTGCATCACAATCCGGTACCCCCACGTCGCACGTTCCTGCGGCCGGCGGAGAATAAAGTCTACATAGGACTCGAGTAAAATATCTGCAACGACGAGAGATGTTTGGCGTTGAGCCACCCAAACGCTTACTACGTAGCCGGAAACGGGTTAGTCGGGCTTTAGAACACACCGACCGGCACACACAATGGAATGCTACATCAGTAAGCGGTGGCATGCGAAGTCGCGCGTGCTCCAATACGAGTCGTGAACTCGCCTCGTCATCGACGGTCCAAGCAGGCCCTCGGGCGTGAAGAACTCTAGGTCTGCCTGTGACCCAGAGCCGAGGATACTGCGGTGGCTGGTGCCATCTCCATTGCCGTTGTTCATCCCGCTACCGACCACGACGTTTGTTCCGGCGTTTCCGCTGGCTCCGCTGTCGGGTCGAGCCAGTCCGCATGAGCCATCGCCGGCAGCGTAGCCAGGGTCACTGGGCCGACCGCTGGTGTTGTTGCTGTTGATGATGTTGTTGTTGTTGTTGTTGTTGTTGTTGTTGTTACTGCTGCTGCTGCTGCTGCTGCTGTCGAGGCAGCGGTCCGTCTGCTGCCCGCGTTTCCGGACAACCTTAAGACGCTTTTGTCCGATGAAGAAGCCATTCATGCTCGAGATCGCGGCTTCCGCTTCGTCCGGCTTGGAGTAGCTCACGAACCCTGGATTGGCGATCGGCAGAGGGAAGATTGGCTTCACGAAGTGAGAAACTGGGTTACATTGAACGTCGAATTTTTTGGCTTTCTTTCTGGACATGCAAAACTGCGTACATCATCATCTCGAGGTGCGCTTCACGCCCACAGCCCGAAAAGACGCATTTACGACGTGTTGTGAATGGACTCGGAAGGTCAACACCACCAGCAGTGCTACTCCATATCAACAGCCGTGAATCCCGGCGGTACTTTATCGCGGCCGAAACCATGCCACCATCTCACCAAACCCCTTGCTCTCTCCGGTGTCTCTGTCGTAGTAAACCTTCGCGCTCAGAACCTCTCCGAACGGAGCGAAGGCTGTCGCGAGATCGGCGTCCGTGAGAGAGCCTGGAAGGTAGTACACGAACAAGTTCGCCCCCGTGGGGCCGACGGACTGCTTCGCCCAGCGCCGGCCCCTCTCTTCGGGGCCACCGGTGCCAAACTTACGGACTGTCCGATCCCCGGTGTACCCGTCCTCCTGTGCCCCGCGAGCACCCAGCTCGCACCGATCGTTGTTTCCCACCGCAGGAGAACCGACGGAAAATGCGTGGTGGGGTTTGGCCCCTATTCCGGCAGGGGCAGCAGAGGAACCAGTGTCATGCTGCACAGACGACGATGGCACGTACGGGTAGTAGACGTACGTCCCTTGCGGAGGGTTGCCGCCGCAGAGAAAGTACGGCATGCCCGAGAGCAGACCAGAGGAAGGACCACTGCCCGGAGCGACGGTGGGCGCGAAGGCTGTCGCTCCTGCCTGCGGCGCCGTAACTGTAGACCTGTTTTGTCCCACGACGTTCCCCAAGCTAGGGATGGTGCCTCCACCGCCGCTGTCGCTCCCCATGAAGGACGAAGGTCGAGACAGAGCGCGGAAAAGGCCGTCTCCAGAGCCAACAGCATCGCGGCGCGTAGTGGTAGTGCCAACCGCAGAGGTCTGTGGGCCGCGGCGATCGTCGGCCACAGTCACCACCAGCGTGCGGAAGCCTCCAGGCATGATGTGTTTGTCGTGAAGAGCCTCGATAGCATCGCTCGCGCTCTTAACAGACTCGTACCTGACAAACGCACAGCCCTTGCTGAAACCGTTCCTGTCCCTGATAACGTAGATGTCGATCGGTGTGCCGAAAGGCTCGAACACAGCCCTGTAGTCTTCTTCGTACGCAGACTTGGGTGCCATACCGACAAAGAGCTTCTTTTTCTGCTGGTCGGTGTGGGCGTGATCGCCAAGCTGTTTAAGGATTTCCAGGATCAATGTAGAAGCAAGCAGGTTTCAGGGTGGGAGCTTCGAAGCTTTGGTGCTTTTAGGAACACGACGATAAACCAGGATAATTGTGCACAGTTCTGCACCAGCTTACCTAGAAGAAAGACGGCGAATTAGAACGACTGAGAAACCAACCCAAGCAGGCAATGGAACGTTAAGTTCTATTCATGCCGCACGCAGTCTGGGTACGACCAAGTTGTCTTCGCAGAAGGCGGGACTGAACAAAAAACGTTGCAGCTTTGAAACTCCTAGCCGACTGATTCCAGTTCATGTGCGATCCTCGTCATGTTTTCCACCATGTGTTCGACGACGATCGCTATGGGGTACTTTGCAGAATCACGAACAACGTTGTTCGTTCGTCACTCTTACATTATTGTGCTATACCCCCCCCCCCCCCTGGAGGGGAAACAAAAGATCAGCGAAGGACAAGCTGGATTTAGACCAGATCGTAGTTGTGTAGACCATGTATATACGTTGAGTAAAATTATCCAAGGTAGGAAAGACGCCGGGCGTACGACATACTGTTTCTTCCTAGATATACAAAGAGCCTACGACACCGTATGGCGCAATGGATTGTGGAAAAATATGTGGGACATCGGGATCCGGGGGAAAATATGGAGGATGTTGAAAAAGATGACAGAATGCACAAGAAGTGCGGTGTTGTTGGATGGGGAAATTTCGAAGTACGTCAGTCGCACAGGGCTGTACGATGTCACCCACTCTCTTTAAGATTTACATCAACGATTTGATAAGGGCGGTTGAAGCAGTAAGACAGGGAGTCCAAGTAGGGGTAAAGAGTGTGTCCGGACTGATGGTTGCAGATGATTTCGTGGGGGTATCCGAAACACCAGAAGGGTTGCAAGAACAAATAGATGCGGCGGTAGGATACACCCGAAAATGGAGACTGTCGGCGAACGTAGGAAAATGCGCAGTAGTGGTCTGTAGCGAAGACAAGAAAAATCCCGTAGAATTCAAATGGAAATGGGGGGAGGAAGAACTACCGGTAGTAGACAAGTATACGTAACTGGGAGTAGAGATTTCGAAGGAGTGCTCATGGGACGCACACATAGCAAAGTTGATTGGGAAGGGTAAAGCTCAGATAGGCAAGATGGACGAGATCCTTACGGACCCACACCTAGACACTAGGATTAAGAGGTGTATTCTCTTGAATGTGATTGTACCTAAGCTAGAGTATGCAGGAGAGGTATGGGAAGGTAACGAAAAGGCCGTCAAGCAGCTGGAAACGGTGCAGATGGCAGCGGCCAAGAAAATACTAGGATGTTCAAGTACAACGAGCAACACTGTATTGAGAGCAGAATTGGGAATGTACTCTCTTAAAACAAAGAGAGACATGCAGAAGTTGAATTGGCAGTACAAGGTAAGTAGAATGTCGGACGATAGACTACCAGCCATGGTTGACAAGGCAGCTTGGGGAAAAGCGA